AGAGCTGCTGCTGTGTTTCTCTGTTGTTCTGGAAATACATCTCCTTGTATTCAGCACTTGTTTTGGATACTTGATTGTTTGAAGGGTGTTTTTTTCTGGTAAAATCTTTGATAAGAAAATATTTTTCTCCCTACTCCTTCCCAAATACCCCTCTGAGAGTTAATCAGAGATGCACAGAGTTCAACAACTGGGAAAGCCATTAATAACCCAGCCAGCTTCTACCCTGCTGGCTGCAAGGCAGCTTCTGGCTGTTGGAATTGATGAGGGTTTCTCTGGTGTTTCCCTGAAAAGTATTCCTCCTGTGTTGGAGGAGCAATTCTGACATATTCGTGTACTCTGTTCTTCACACTTTTAATTTTAAGTTGCTACCCTTGGAAAGGGTGCTGGCTATGTTGTTAGACCCCAGTATTTAGCACCCTTCACTGTTCCTAAAGTAAACTGTGGGTCTGCTTTCTCTCACTTTTCATCTGGCAGGTATCTTGCAGTTCACTCATAGTCTCTGCCTGACCAAATTTGCCTCCTTGTGTCTCATAGAGCCTTGCTTCATGTCAACCTTGTATCAGCACTGAAGTGAGTGGCAGATTCTGTGTAGTTTTCTAAATATATCATTATTTTAAGTACTATTAATTCCTTGCTCTTTCGTTGGAACTCTTATCATTATCCCTCTCCCTTCAGTTCTTCCCCTAAATATCCCATGTGTTGAAATTTCTTTTCTCCTCTCAACCCATTATGTCTGAATCTGCCCCTCTTTCTGGACTATAGACTCCACAGAGTCATCAGTTACTGTTTCTGCCTTTACTATTTGGAGCTGTGCCTTTGGTCTGGGATTTCTGTGTACCAATACTAAAACTGAAGGCCTTTCCCCCTCTTCTTGTCAAACTTGTTCTTTTGTAGTACATTCTGACCTTTGCCACCTTACCCTTTCCAGTTTTCAAGGTTTTTCCTGCTCAGTAAATGTTTGAGCTAGTTTGGTTATAGGGTATTTTATGCTAGAGGTCTGTGGGTTCTTTTCTCCCATAGGCAGCATCTCATATTGTGTTTGTATGTTTCACATTTTCCTGGTCATGCTGGGCACTTTCCTGTCATTTATCCTTCTTTGCTAGTGTTCTCAATACTTTGAATTTGAAATCTTCTCTACCTTATATTGAGATGCCATTTAGCTCCTATTTCTCCATTCTTAGCCGAGACGCTAAAGCTGAGGACCAGCGTGAGCACCTCCCCTTACTTAACATGTTGCCTCTTTTATGGTGCTTCGTGCAACCTTCAGTTTGAGATGGGTATTTGAGCCCGCTGACCTCATTCTTGTTTTCCTCTGTATATCCTCCAGTAATCTCTAAACACTATAAAGCCATTATCTCTGACCATATTTTGTACCTCCCCTTTTCCTTCAGTTTTAAAACATTTAGGTAAACTATGCATAACATAAAATTTATCTTTTTTTTTTCTCGAGACGGAGTCTCGCTCTTTTGCCCAAGCTGGGTGCAATGGAGCGATCTTGGCTCACTTTAACCTCCGCTTCCCAGGTTCAAGTGACTCTCTTGCCTCAGACTCTCGAGTAGCTGGGATTACAGGCACCCGCCACCACACCCAGCTAATTTTTGTACTTTTAGTAGAGACATAATTTCACCAGGTTAGCCATGCTGGTCTTGAACTCCTGACCTCAAGTAATCCACCTGCCTTGGTCTCCCAAAGTGCTGGGATTACAGGCAGGAGCCACTGCGCCCCGCCAAAATTTAACATTTTAATCCCTTCCCTTTATTTTTAATTTTAGTTATTTATTTGTTTATTTATTTTTGAGTTGGAGTCTCGTTCTGCCGCTGTAGCACAATCTCAGCTCACTGCAACCTCCACCTCCCAGTTCAAGTGATTCTTGTGTCTTAGCCTTCTGAGTAGCTGAGATTACAGGTGCTTGCCACCATGCCTGGCTAATTTTTTTATTTTCAGTAAAGATGGGGTTTCACCATGTTGATCAGGCTGGTCTCGAACTTCTGACTGCAAGTGATTCACCCACCTTGGCCTCCCAAAGTGCTGGGATTACAGGCGTGAGCCACTGTGCCCATCCCCCTATTTTATGTTTAAGATGAAGGGAGAAACTAAATCAGAAAGAAGTTGTCTTTAGGTTTTAATGTCAACAAAAAAGATGCTTGTGACTACGTTGTACAGGTCCACATTTTCCCCAGCCATGGGGTTTGCCTCTTTTTCTCTGTTGTCTTCTTGTGTTCTTTCACCAAGCTCTGTGTTACCTTTGGGCACTGGCTACTGCTCAGTACTATCCAGTGCGCTGACTTCTCCTTCCCTGCTCTTCAACCCTTCTAACGGCAGATAGATTTGTGTTTGTTGTCCAGAAGGAGGTGAACCTTTGGATCTTGCAGTAGAAAATCGTCAGCTCTGTGATGTGGTTCTGTGAAGGCCAGCTCTCTCTCATGGGTGTGGAATAATTGGATTTGCCCCATGATGCTTCCTGTTTTTGTTTTTGTTTTTTTGAGATGGAGTTTCGCTCTTGTTGCTCAGGCTTCAGTGCAATGATCTCACTGCACCCTCTGCCTCCCAGTTTCAAGTGATTCTCCTGCCTCAGCCTCCCAAGTAGCTGGGATAACAGGCATGTGCCACCATGCCTGGCTAATTTTGTATTTTTAGTGTAGAGATGGAGTTTCACCATGTTGGTCAGGTTGGTCTCGAACTCCCGACCTCAGCTGATCTGCTCGCCTCGGCCTCCCGAAGTGCTGGGATTACAGGCATGAGCCAACGTGCCTGGTTGATGATGCTTTTTCTAGCTTTGTTTTCCTTTTTTTTTTTCCTTTTTGAGACGGAGTTTTACTCTTGTTGCCCAGGCTGGAGTGCAATGGCACAATCTTGACTCACAGCCACCTCCACCTCCTGGGTTCAAGTGATTCCTTCTGCCTCAGCCTCCTGAATAGCTGGGATTACAGGCATGTGCCACTATGCCCGGCTAATTTTTTGTATTTTTTTTTAGTAGAGACAGGGTTTCACAATGTTGGCCAGGCTGGTCTCGAACTCCTGACCTCAGTGATCCTCCTGCCTTGGCCTCCCAAAGTGCTGGGATTACAAGGGTGAACCACTGTGCCCGGCCTGTTCTCTATCTTTTTTAAAAGAGATGAAGGTCTCTTGTCGCCCAGGCTGACCTTGAACTCCTGGACTCAAGCAATCCTCCCACCTCAGCCTCTCAGGTAACTGAGACTACAGGTGCACACCACTGTGCCCAGCTAGTGTTTTATCTTTTTGAGGCTTAGAGGCCTCCACCCTTTCCCCCACTTGGGATCCTTTTTAACTTCAAAATATTTTCTAACTCCTCTTATGATAATTAGTTATATCAATTAGTTGTACTTTCAGTACTAATTGATAAGTAAAATATACAATAATGAAAAGCTATCATGAATTCAATTATACTTTTAAATGAATTAGTACTTTATCACAACAGTAATATATTTGAAAAATAATAGTATGCTAAATTTGGAAACTATCTTAGTTGTTTGATATTCAGTTACTCCTTTGTGTATATGTATAATTTGGGAGCTCCCTGGTAACTGCAGTCTGCTGATCAGGGACTCCTGATTTTTAACCCCCATTTTACATTCCGTTTAGTCTTATCTCTTTCTCCTTGCCCCTCCTTTCATTGGCAGAGTTTCAGGTCAAAGGAATGTATGTTAAGGCACAGTGGGTGCTTTCTCTTATGGGAAAATAAAAACCAAATACTGACTTTCAATGGATCAGCTTCCAATATCCCTGGTATTGATTTGTCTCTTAATGCTCGGCGGCCAATTCTACCAAGATATAAAAACCATCCTAGGCTTTTGTTTCTGGCTTGTGAAACTCCCAGTGGTCTACTTAAAAGCTAAGTCTTGCCTTAACTTCGGTTTCAGGGCCAGTTTGAAGATTATCTCATTGATTTGAAGATAATCCAAAGGGAGAATTCAGAAAATATCCCAAATCAAGGTCTCAAAGGTTCATTTATTTTGTGGAGTTGGCTAAGCAGCTAATTAACTGCTCTGTCCAGCCAATGCCCTTTGGCTTATTGTTCCTTTGATACACTAGAAACAAAAACATGTGAAGCTCCTTTCCTCTTTTCTTGTAGGAAGCAGTGAAGTGTAATGGAAAGATCTAGGACTTCAAAGTCCAATCTTCCTTGTATCCCGCCTCAACCACTCTCTAGTTATGTGACCTTGGTATTTGCCTCTCTGGTCTTTAGTCCACTTCTCTGTAAAACAGTAATAATACTTCATGGCCTTGCTAGAAGAATTAAATGGGATAACATATCCATAACCTTTGTATTGGAACCTAGCAGATACTTAATAAATGGCAGTTATTACTGTTGCATGTACTATTAACAGTCCATAAAGAAAACACCCAGACTTTTATCTTTTTATTCAAATGATCTAACATAGGATTACATTTTCTAATATTCTTCACCATTGTCAGTATGTAAAAGAAGGGACTGTCTTTTCTTGTGCTTTTTTTTTTTTTAAACCTGTGACCAATTTTTCCACACGGGTGACCTAAACAGATTTCATTTGAAGATAACCATTTGCCAAATGAAATTGGTGGGGGAATTTTTCTTCCTTTAAGACCTCCTCCCACAGCAGGCATCTGGATAACAAAATAATAAATAATGTAAGACACCCCCCCAAGCCACATTTTTCCTGCATCTTTCAATATAGAAAAAGTTTATATATATATATATCTCTTCCAGATCCCAAGATCTAAATGTGGCTTCAGTTTCAGATGCTAAGGGACCACATTAACTCAAGAAAAATCCTCCTCCTTCCTGAGCTGTTGGTAAATGCTCATAAATCTCTTAGTTGAGGTTCTCCAGAAATATGTTTTATTAATGTGCCACCTAATTAGTGAGCAACCAGATGACTAATTTCTGTGGGGTCCTCTCCTAAGTGTAAGAATGTAGTTTTGGGAATGCTTCCTTTTTGGGCTGGTGGGCGATTCTGCCTGAGTGACTCTCTTATGTGTAGTCTTTTTGTTTTCCTCAGGGACAATGGTGACAGATCCAGGCACCGAGCTCCACGTAACGCCCGGATGTCTGCACCGTCGCTTGGACGCTTTGTCCCAAGGTAAGAACCAGTTGCTAGCAACAGAGGAAGCCTTTGTTCGAACCTAGGATTTCGTTTCCCTTTCCCCTCTCTCTTCTCCCCCTGCCCCCTGTCCCCTCCCCCCTCCTCCCTCCCCCCTCCCCCTTCCCTCTTTCCCCTCCCCTCCATTCCCTCTCCTCTCTTTCTCCTCTCTTTCTCTTCTCTTTCTCTTCTCTCCCTGTCTCTCCCAGGCTGGAGTGCAGTGGCTATCTCAGCTCACTACAAACTCCACCTCCTGAGCTCATGCAATTCTGCCCCGGCCTCCCTAGTAGCTGGGATTATAGGCACCTGCCACTGTGCCCGGCTATTTTTTGTATTTTTAGTAGAGACCAGGTTTCACCATGTTGGCCAGGTTGATCTCAAACTCCTGATCTCATGATCCACCTGCCTTGACCTCCCAAAGTGCTGGGATTACAAATGTGAGACCCCCACCAACCCAGCCAGAGGATTTAGTTTTAAACCTACTTTCTGGTCTTTGGTTTGTCCATATCTGGATTTGTTTCCTGGTGGCCCTAAAGCCCAGCCCTGCCTTCTAAATTCTTGACAGATGATGGTTAGCCACATTGAAAAGAGATGAAAAAGCGGTGGTGGGAGAATCCTGTTTAAGAATAGAGGTGTTGGGGGAACTTTAGAAGGAGGGGTAAGAAAAAGATAGATACCAATCTGTGGAAGGACCAATCTTGGGAGTTTTTATTCCTTTCTGGGCTTCTGTGGATTCAGTGGGTCCCTTAGCCTAGATTTTTGAGTGTAGGTAGTATCTCCTTTGTTTTATGGTAGTCTTTAGTCAGCTTTTCACATGTGATTCCTTGTTGTAGGCGTTTCTTGCTGCCTGAGTACTTGCCTTATGCTGGGATTTTTCATGAACGTGGACAGCCTGGCTTGGCTACTCACTCTTCTGTTAACAGGGTCCTGGCAGGTAAGGAAATGTTTCTTTGGCTTTTGAAAATGTGAAGGAGCAAGGAGCCAAATAACTCTGCTCCCTCCTTTACCTATGTTGATGTGATGGTGTCTTGGCATTCTACTTTGGGGTCACGGTTTAATATTCAGTTCCTTACTTCAAGGCAGGAAATGGGTTGAAGAAAAATGTTTCTCTTACTCTATTCCTACTTTCCCCAGACCTTTTTTTTTTTCTTTTAAATTATTTGTTTAAACTGTTTGTTTCTTAATCCAGCAATTAAATTCTAGCTATGCGTTTAATTGAATGGTAACTGACTTTCAATGGATCAGGTGACTTTCAATGGTAAAGGTGTCATATTTATGTTTCGGTTGGTGAGATACTCATGAGCCAGATCCTGTGATTTGATTAGCTTAGTGCACATCTCCCCACTCCTTTGGTACTGCCAGCACATGGAGTTTCCAGGCACTGTGGAATCTTCTGAGGAAGGAGAAAAGGGAGACACCGTTGGAGCTGGCTCAGAAATCTCCACAGAACAGAAAATGGGCTGAGCAAGCCCCACAGAGGCAGTTTTGTGATGCTTGAATAGCTTAGTGACATGTTTTTGGGCTCTGAGGCGTAATGTGATTGTGTTTTGAGACGTGGTATGTGCTACTGCTTCTGGTCAGTCTCTAGAGAAGGAAACAAAGCAGAATTCCATTTTTGTATGTGGCAAAGGTTGTTTCCCCATCACCTCCCCCCTCCCTCCCACCTCCACTGCCAACTTATAAATTTATGAATGCAAAAGCATAAAAGGTATAAAAAGCTACATTTAGAGGTATCTTTAATAAGCATCTTTATTAAAAGTTTTAAAATGACATTCTGTTTTGGAGAATCTGGGCCATGTGCTGATTAAAGGTAGGGAGGGATCTCTTGAGGCAGTGGCACTGTCAGGCTGCGAGGATGTTACAAGCTTTATTTTGTGATTTCCCAACCAAGCTGCTGTGACAGCATCAAGGCCATGGGATCTGGCCTTTCCTAAATACTGTATTTGATCCAACATCAATGCTTAGAAATTCCAGAAACCTCAGTGGTTTCTCTGTCAGACACCAGGACTTCATAGGCTCTGGCCTGGCAAGAGAGCAGACTACACCACAGTCTCCTGACAGCCTCATCTGAGGAGGCTCTGGCCCTAGTTGTAAAACAGATGCTGTGGCCCGTGCCTCTCCTCGCCTGGCACTTCTGTGTGGCTTCACTGAAGGCACGTGGAAGCTTTTCACTGGCAGATAATCACTTGCTGCCAGGCAATACTCCAGAGCTCTTCTCCACCCTTCTTTGTTCCAGACATCTGCCTCCACCGCCCCATACAGCACCTCCTGCTTCTCTACTGCTGGCAGATTTCTGTTTCCTTGGCATTTAGCTTGGGGGAACAGCTGTATGTTGTTTTTTTTCTGCCTTGTCTCCGAGACAGACCTCTTTACCTCCATTTCCTGTTTTCTACTTTATGCTTAGTGGTCTGACCCCAAATGGCCTAATTACACCTATGGATACCTTTGAATATAGGGGCTGTGTTTCAGCGGGTGGCTGTTTGTAGATGTGAAATCTGCTGAGAAAATCTATCAAAGGGTGCAGAGTGCCATTAGGACCAGAAACTCTAGACTCCCTAGAATCTCACTCTTGAGTCAGATTAGCAGATGGTTTCCATTCACCATTAAACTAGTTTCTACCAATTTTTCTAGATACATATTACAGAGTGTTTATCATTTGTTGATATTTTGATGACCCTCCAGATTCTATTGGCAGTTGTATCATTTGTTTTCTTCTCTTGAGAAAATTCCAATGATAATAATACAGCAGCAAAATCCTAACATTTATTGAGCACTTGCTATATACTAGGGAGTATTTTAAGCACTTTACACATATTTCATTTCTGTCTTCCAGTAATCATAGGAGATAGGTGCTATTACATAATTAACAGTGGAAGAAACTGAAGCCCAGAGGGCTAACTTGCCCAGAGTGATGCTTCTAGGAAGCACAGGAATAGAGGCAGTGGACTGTAAACCACCTTCCCAATCTGCCCCCTCACAGTTGTTTTAAAGGACAAAGGATTAAAATGTCATTCTTTTTCCTAGGACTTTATAAGAGGGAGAGAACTCCCAGGGAACTTCAGTGTTTTTATCTGTTTTAATTCTTCTATTTAAATGGTTCCTAGACATAGGATTTTATGATCCAGCGGTGCTTGCTGAGGAAAATCTTATTATGTAACTGCCCTTTTCCTGAGCCTTCTTGCCCTCCTGGATACAGATGTTTTGCTTTTTATTAAACTTACTTGTGATCATGTAATTGAGCTGCTATAATAATAGCTTTCAGAGTGAAAGAGCAATTGGCCTTTTAGCAGTAAGCATTCCCAATTTTCCTGGAAAGGCACTTTGTCTTGTATGATTGGAATGAGATTGTAATGGTCCCAGAACGGCTACATTTAGCAGACGTTTGTTCTGTAGCTGTTATATGCCAGGCACTGTTCTAGGCTACCAGAGTGAAGAAGACAGACATGATCTCTGCCTTCCTGTAGCTCAAAGTCTAGTTGGTTAGCCATGTCTCAGTCTTACTCTAAACATAAGTGGAACTTTTGTATGGTGAGTTGCTTTTTGCAGGGATGAAGGTTGGAAATTGGGCAGACCTGGAGGGACAAAGCAGACATACCCCTGCAGTTTTAGGGGCTGTGGCCGGTACTGTAGTGCCAATGAGTCCTCAGTGGACCCTAAGCAAAGCTATTCAGAATCATCAACAAAAACAGGTTTGCAGAAAATCAAGATCTGTTCTACTTCCTCCCACAAGAGACTGAGAGCAATAATAGAAAACAGAAGCTACTATAGAAAAGTGTTAAAAGGTGAAGAGTAAGTTATTGCAAAAAGAATTTTAAAAATACTAAAAATTTTTTAAAAACGTGTTTTGATAGTCTAGGTATTTCATCTCTTCTTCCTTATCTTGGTGCCTTCACCTGCAATTCCGTAGGTTCCTGGTAGCCTCCAATTGGTCATCAACCCAGGCCTTTCCCCATCTTCAGCAACACAAATTCTAGACCCATACTTAAAGAGCTATAAATACTAATAAAGCTATGGCAACTCTACCAGGTAAAATTTTGGGAGAACATACAAAAGTCAGAGGAGCTCCCCCTGCTGACATTGTAGCAGACAACTAGCTCCGTGTACTAACAGCAACTGAAATGATGGAAATAAAGCTAATGACTGCCTACCCTGGGCCAGGTACTGTCTTTCCCCCATTATCTGTTTTAATCTTTGCAGCAACTCTGTGAGGTAGGTGATAGCATTTCCATTTTGTAGGGAAGAAAACTGATGTCACTTGCCCAATATCACATTGAGAGAGGCTGACCTGGAACTTTAAACCAGGTCTTCCTGATTACGAATTCTGTTCTTGGCCTGGTGTGGTGGCTCACCCCTGTAATCCCAGCACTTTGGGAGGCTGAGGCAGGTGGATCACCTGAGTTCTGGAGTTCGAGACCAGCCTGGCCAACATGGTGAATCCCTGCCTCTACTAAAAACACAAAAATTAGCCGGGTGTGGTGGTGGGCAGCTGTAATCCCATCTACTCAGGAGGCTGAGGCAGGAGAATCACTTGAACCTGGGGAGGTGGAGGTTGCAGTGAGCTGAGATTGCGCAGTACTCCAGCCTGGGTGACAGAGCAAGACTCCATCTCAAAAAAAAAAAGAGCACTCTGTCCTGTCATCTGTGCCATGTTTTGTTTGAGTTCAAGTAGGGAGTATCTGCCAAAAGGTTCTTAAGCTTATAATATTTTTCTGCATGTTTGAGGCCTCATAAAAGTGAAATAAGCTTGGCATTTGACAGCTTCCTGGTAATTACTGGAAGAACAAAAAACTTCTGAGGAATAGGGGCCTGGGTAATGTAGGGTATTAGTTATCTGTCCTGCATAATCTTTTTTACTTTCATCCTAATGAGCATCTGCTCCCAGCAGATGTGGACCTGATATACTTAATTTACTATTTTGATTAAAATCAATGGGAAGTGTCAGGATTTTCTTGCTCCTAGCCACAGGTCATTAGGGCCTGGTCCAGTGTCTTGAGCAAGAGATGGCTTTGTGCCCAGTTATCCTAATTTGTCTTATGACTTCTTCTTTTAAAATATTAAAAAAGACACTGTTTTACTGAACAGTGTCACTTCTTAGTATGACTTCTTTAACCCATTAGTTTTTTGGGAGTGTGTTGTTCAGTTTTCATATTTTGAATTTGCCAAATTTCCTTCTGTTTTTGATTTTTTTATTTAATTTGATCATGGTTTGAGAGCATACTTTGTGCAATTTTATTTATTTAAATTTTATTGGAATTTGTTTTATGGCTTAGTGTATAGGCTTTTCTAGAGAATGTTACCTATGTGCTTGAGAAGAATGTGTATTCTGCTGTTATTTAGTGGAGTGTCCCGTAGATCCCAGTTTAATCTACTTGGTTGATGGTATTGTTCCGGCTTTGTATATCCTTGCCGATTTTCTGTTTAGCTCTATCTTTTATTGAGGGTGACTATTGAAATCTCTATTATTATTGAATTCTGTATTTTTTCCTTCAATTTTGTTTTTTTTTTTTTTTTTTTTTGAAAAAATCTTGCTCTGTTGCCTAGGCTGAAGTACAGTGACCCAATCTTAGTTCACCGCAAACTTCACCTCCCAGGTTCAAGCAATTCTCCTGCCTCAGCCCACTGAGTACCTGGGATTACAGGTGTATCCTACCAGGCTTAGCTAAGTTTTGTATTTTTAGTAGAGATAGGGTTTCACTATATTGGCCAGGCTGGTCTTGAACTCCTGACCTCAAGGGATCCACCTGCCTTGGCCTCCCAAAGTGCTGGAATTTACAGGTGTGAGCCCCCACGCCTGACCCAATTTTGTCAGTTTTTGATTAATACATTTTGTGACTTTGTCATTAGGTGCACATATATCTACAGTTGATATGTGTTCCTGATAAATTAACTGTTTTACCATTATTTATTGTCCCTCTCTCTCTAGTAATATTTTTG